TTGTTATTGCTATTTGAAATTGGTTAAAGATACGTACCAGGGCTATGTAGCTCCCAGTTTACATTTAAAATATTGAAGTCACCTGTTATTAACGTGTATTTTGTGTTATACTCATCCATGAATTGAACCATGTTATTAATGAATGTTTTAAATTAGTTCAGATTTTAAGAAATTCGTATTTCTTAAGTATAAAAATCTTAACCTTTACCCAAAGATTTTCGTATTCAGTATTGTAATTAGATATTCTACAAGATATTTAATTGTTAGATACAGATATAAGGACTCCGCCACCAATTTTATTATTTGCACGATCCCTTCTTTACACTGTATACCTATCTGTTGTCAAAGATTTCAAAATCATAAACTGTGCAGTTTAGCAACATTTCTGTAAGGATTATAATGTCCACAATATTGTTTTGGATTATTAATTTAAACTTCTCTTACGTTAGATCTTAGGCCTCTGACATTCTGGTAAAAACATGATATATTACTAAACGTTGTGGTAAGATAACCCAACACATTTGTATGAATTAAAATTAAAAAAAATTAACCTTCTTTTGCTGAAAGATTTAATATTTTTAAAACATTTATGTTCAGTCAACTGCTCTACTCGCTTTATGACTTCATTGTTTTTTATCTCCACATTTTTTAACAAATGTGTTTCTAAATGCGAAAAAGCAGTGATTAGTTTATCCCTTACTATCCTCCTCGTGATTTTTCCTTAAATATGTTCTTCATTGAAGAAATATGACTATCTATATTCGTTAATGAAAACAGAAATAAAAATAGGGATTTAACTTGTATTTGAGCATTTTTAACTTTCATAAATTATATTGAATAAAAAGTTTCTATTTCTATCTCGATTTCCGTTTCCCATTCTTTATAGTTTTCTAGTAGCGTTCAAGTAAAGTGTCAACTTAACTACCCCGCGTGTATATAAATACAATATATATATATATATATATATATATATATATATATATATATATATATATATATATATAATAAGAAATAAAATAAAACATATGGCAATTCACAAAGCTGTTTTAGCTCCTACATTAATGGTAACGAAAGTTTGGTGTGGCAGAAGAAGCACGAGTGCTGTAGAAATGCAGTTGTTTAGGAGTAAGTATGTTAGAGCTGAACCTGAATGACAGGGTGAGAAATTGTGTGATAAAAGAAAAGTGTGTTGTACAAGATGATGTTGTGACCAGTTTTAAGAAAGGAATGCTTCGGTGTATGATATGAAGAACATGTAGAAAGAATGAACGAGGAAAAAGTGACAAAAGAAATTTAGGTTGCAGAAGTGAACGGTGGAGTCGGGAAGGGATTACCTAGACGAAAGTTTATCGAGCTAATTGCCGATACATTGAAAATGGACCAGATTAAGCGTTGCCTTAAACCGACGACGAGCTTGTATGCGTATGTATATGTTTTGGATGTAAAGGAGGCAAGAGAGGTGTGTCAGGATCGTGCCAAATAGACGTTCGTAGTCTCTGCCTACCCCTCTGGGTGACATGCGTAAGTGTTTATGCTTATGTTATAAGAAATCATTTCGAGAAATAATTACTTACTGGAACATTACTTTTAAATTGACGTTGCAAACGAACTCAAAGAGAGTAAGTAACTACTGCAGCTTATTGTCTGGGTCAAGTCAAAAAAATGTTGAAAAATTGAAAAAAAATATGTATTAAATACCTTAAATATGTACTAATAGTTATTGAGATATTAACAAAACAGCTGGATACATTTTTCATCTTATTTTTTAATTTAAAACTTAACTTAAAATTAACTTAAAATTTAAAACAATTGCAATTTTTCCATTCTAATAAACCCCTAGAATATATTTTTCTAGAGGTCATTCCGAATTCAATGAGCTATTGTCCATACTTTAGGAGCTTTATGTCAATTTTTCACGTTTTCAATTTGTTGGTCAGACTAACATAGATTCTGCAACCAACTTCAAGCAAAAAAGCCTACAGATGCGTTGTCACGTCTGAGGACTAAGATGGAATGGCTCACAGCCTGTAATTATACTGGCTCTCTATACTCTTCAGACCGGAACCCAGCTGTGCACACTGCTATGGGCAGTACCTACGAATATCTAGGCACTTCTAGTAAGCAAAAAAGCTCCTACCACCTAGAGTATTGGAACTTAAACATTTAAATTTTCAACTTAACATTTTCAACGTGGTGGAGCTACGCTGCAGCTATTATGGTTGTAGTATAAATGGGTCGGCTCGAAAGGGGAAGGACCACGCTCTCCCAGAACTGCGTAAAATAGCAGCTCAATGCTGCTGTGTTTCGTATGGTGAGTGTAGAGAACCGGAAACCAGTTTTACTGGAATCGAAGAGTGACAACGCATCTGCATTTAAATTTTTGATCGGGGTTAAATGTAGAAGTCTTTGCATCAACTTACCATCAGGTGGACTTTGTGCTCGTTTGTCACACTAAATTAAACTTGTTATACTTTTAAAAGATATTAAAAATGTTGGTTTTACTACGTCTGATCTTTTCCATCAATTGATGTTAGCCAATGAGCATATGCATTATTGGAGCGCGATTGTGCGTGATATATCAGACAGATTTATAATAATTGAGCTAACTGCTCAGAATCTAGACTGCAGATTGCATCAATTGGCTGTATCAAATTGTAATCAAGTGCGCGCAGTTGGAGGACCTTAACAAGTTTATGCATTTGTGGTGGGCTATCGTTTGACATACGGTGAAATGTATGTAAGCTTTTTTATCATCATTAACATCATCATCATTACAGCCCTTCACAAGTCCACTGCTGAACATAGGCCTCCCCCAAGTAATGCCAGAAAGCACGGTCCTGAGCCACCTGCATCCATCGACTTCCTGCATGTCTTACCAGGTCGTCACTCCATCTAGTGGGGGGTCGCCCTACACTACACCTACCGGTACGAGGCTGCCACTCGAGAACCTTTTTTCCCCAACGGTTATCGGTTCTTCGAGCTATATGGCCGGCCCATTGCCACTTCAGCTTACTAATCCGTTGGGCTATGTCGGTCACTCTGGTTTTACTGCGGATATCCTCATTTCTGAGTCTATCACGCAGAGAAACTCCGAGCATAGCCCTCTCCATAGCTCGCTGAGCGACCTTGAGCGTCCTCATACAGCCAGCAGTGAAGGACCACGTCTCTGATCCGTAAGTCATCACTGGCAACACGCACTGGTTGTACACTTTAGTTTTCAGACGAGAAGATGTGTCGTGTTGTAATTTCCCGAACGCTTCATCTTAAGACGTTATAGGCTCTCTATGTTGTTGTTATTTTGAGGTTAATAAAAAGCACGTTTTATGTTCAAATTATTATATCTTTAATTATCCCCATAATCCTTAACAGGGTTATGGGCCCAGTACGGCCATCAGTTTTATAGTGGACTAATAAGTGTTAAAGGACAGAAAATGTCAAAAGAAAAATATCAAATTGTCCCTTTCGCGGGGGACAATTACGACGCGTGGGAGTTTCGATTAAAAAGTATCCTGCGGGATAATGGAGCTATAGAGGCGATCGAAAAGGAGGATTCCAGTAAATCTACGGATAACAAGCAATTGCAAGTGGAAGCTAAGGCCCAGGCTATAATAATAGCGGCAACCGCCGACAGTCACCTCGAATACTTAAAGGACAGATCTGCTTATCAAATGATTAAAAGCATGGAAGACAGCTTTAAGAAGAAAGGTACACGATCTAAATTATTTATAAGAAGAGAGTTGTCCGATATGAAATTCGACGAACGGAAACGTTTAATGGAACATTTTATTGACATGGAAAAGCTATTTGCACAACTTAGGGATGCTGGCAGTGAGCTCTCAGAAGAAGAAAAGGTTAACTATTTACTCCTATCCATGCCGAAATCTTATGAAGGCATTATCACGGCTTAGGAGACTGTGGAGGAATTGAAAATGGACTTCGTGAAAAACAGAATGCTTGGGGAAGAGGAAAAACGGAACAGAGGAGCGACCAAATCCCTTGACTCTTCAATCTTCTTGTGTTATGGATGTGGACGCCCCGGACACAAAAAATCCCAGTGTAGGAGCACTCAGCAGGCACGACACAGGACTGGCGACTGGAGACTTCACGGCCGTGGACGTAGCGACTGGAAGTACAACGGAGGCCGAGACGACAGTAAGGCAACTCGTCATCAGACCCAGGGGAGAGGTAGAGGAAAGTCATTTCTTACAGGCACTGTAAATACTGAAGGTAACAAATTTGTAAGTTTTATGTCCTTTAGCCCTGACACCGAGCAGAAGAATAAAAATAGTTTTAAATGGGTTGTTGACTCAGGTAGTTCATTTCATCTTGTAAATGACATTAGTTTATTCTTTAATTATTGTAAACTGGATAAGCCAATTAAAAATTTCAGCTGCCAAAAATGGCGTTGATTTAGAGGCTGTTGGTGTAGGAACAATAAAATGTTATTTAAGTGATTTTAAAGTTGATATTATATTAAACGATGTGTATTATGTACCACAATTGAGAAAAAAATTATTATCTGTTTCCAAAATGGAAAAGCATTGTTTAAAGATCATCTTCAATAATTCCATAATAAACAAAAGTGTCCCGTAAAGGACTACCAAATTGTCTATAACCTTGTGCACCTGTAAGAACACAAACATCATCACTGCCTTATTAGTCACTTCGCGCGAAGAAGACGACATTAGCGAAAATAATTGCTCTCCCGTATCCACACCGCATCTCGAGGCAGCCGCAGCGCGAAACCGTACTTCACCTCCGGCAGGGTGAGAGACAGTTGCTATTTTTCGTCCCTATCAAATCAACGGGCCGCACTTCGTTCGCTGCTGTATCGCCGGCGCAGTATAGCTGTACGTACCTATTACCTATTATCCAAGATGATTACCTGCGTTGGTTGTTTAAACAAAATACACAATAACATCGGACGCATCGATTGCGCGCGTTGTAAACAATGTTATCACAACCTATGCGTTAACATTTCTGACAAAAACCTTAAAAAGATGTCGGATACTCAAAAAGCTAGTTGGCTATGCCCCAATTGTCACAGTAAACAGCCTAGAGGCGACAACACAAATACGCCTGTCAAGCAGACGGCATCGTCATCGTCACCCACGACAGCCTCCAGTAACGTTATGACACGCAAAGCTACCAAAGTGGCAGGCGAGTCGCCCATCCCACAAGTACTAAGTAGCGGCGCACTTACATCGAGCGCAGAGATACGTGACATCATAAATGAAGCACTGAGGGAATGGACCACCGGAATTTGTAGTCAACTAAATTAAATAACAAGTGAGGTGGCCAGTTTCAAAGATTCAATGTCATTTTTAATGAACAATTCGAGCAATTAAAAGCCGAGGTTAAAGCCCAAAATGCAGAGGTTCGACGTCTCAGTGACGAAAATAATTCACTGCGAAGGGATGTCATTAATCTAACCACTCACTGCAATCAGTTGGACCAGATGTCTCGTGCCGTCAATTTAGAGCTCCAATGCGTTCCTGAGCACAAGAACGAAAACGTAACCAGGATAGTTGAACAGCTAGGTAAAATCGTCAGCTGTCCCTTCAATGAAACTGATATTTCCCATTGCACCAGAGTGGCCAAAATGAACCCAAAGAGCCCCAGACCACGTACCATTCTAGTTAGATTCACGAGCCCACGACTCAGAGATTCGGTCCTGGCAGCAACGATCAAGTACAATAAATGCAACTCAAACGATAAACTAAACTCGAGCCACCTGGGACTAAGTGACGAATCGAAACCGCCAATTTACGTTGCTGCAAATTTGTCACCGGAAAACAAGGCCTTGCATGCGGCGACTCGTGCTCGCGCCAGGGAACTCGGCTATCAGTTTGTGTGGGTGCGCAGCGGACGCGTGTTCGTGCGGAAAGATGTCAGCTCGCCATCTAAAGTTATAAGAGACATAAGTTGTTCGAACTCTCTCTAGACTATCGTTTGTTCTGTATTGCAGTTCTCTTATCACTTAACATTAAAATACAATTTAAAAATATATTATCAAAATGTATGGGGCCTTAGAAATAAATGTGAGAATTTATACATTAATGCATTACAAAAATCTTACGACCTAATTACTTTGACGGAGTCATGGCTCAATGACACCGTTTTTGACCACGAACTCTTGGATGCTAGACCCGATCGTATCCCTTTGTCTTCCCAAGCGAAAAAAGAAGGTGATGGTATTTGTGTAGCTGTACTGAAAAAATATGAGCCGTCGAGAATGAAGAGATGGGAGTCGGCGTGCGAGGAATTATGGCTCTCTATAGACTTAGGACTTAACAACAAAGAGAGAATAAGTATTTGCGCTGCGTACATTCCCCCACCAATTTCAAAAGATTACTTACAAACTTTTCTCGATAATCTCACGGATGTCGTCAGCAATAAAATATCAAACGGCTCATTTACCCTATTGCTAGGTGATTTCAACCTTCCTAATATAGTCTGCGAGACTATAGGCGATCCAAATGTATACATCCCAAAGCCAAATAACGAGACTATCGAAAACATGTTCATAGACGAAATTACGTTCAATAATCTTAAACAATGTAACTGTGAATAATACTAATAACGTAAAGGTGGTCGAAGCTTCGATGCCCTTGGTTGGATTGGATTCTCATCATCCTGCCCTCGAAATACTCATTCACAGCCTGGGGAATATAAAACCATGCAGGTCCAAACGTGTAGCATCACCAAACTATTCCATGTGCGACTTTGACGCTATCAACGAAGAACTCACGCATATAGTGTGGTCCGAAGTATGGTCTGAGCTTTATGAAATACTATAGTTGATAGGTTCTACGGCTTAGTTTTGCCCATAATTAAGAAGCACACGCCATATCGAATACCACATTCAGAAAAAATTCCAGTGTGGTTCAGTACAGCCTTAATAAAATGCTTAAAAGAAAAAACGAAGTATCACAAAAATACAAGCAGTATGGTAATCCCCTTGACAGATTAACATATGAACTTCTAAGAGACCGTTGCAATACAATGATTAAAAGTTATTTTTCTAGCTTTAAAAAAAAAACGCAGCTTCTCATTTACGCTCCAACCCTAAGTTCATCTGGTCTTATGTTAATGGTCTCAAAAGAAACACAAATTCCCTCCCTTTTCAGATGATTCGAGGTGCCAAGACTGCCAGAAGTGGCCAAGAGATTTGTGACCTATTTTCAGAGCACTTTCAGTCAATGTACGATGACATCGTCACCAATTTGACAACCAAGTCATCCAATGTCAATAATACAGCTCTTCACAGTTACGAGAACTGTCTGACCATCAGCTCACTCACTGTCTACGAGGTAGAAAGGTAAGATACGAGGTAGAAAGAGCATTGATGGGATTGGATGGAAGCAAGGCTTCAGGATTGGATGGCTTGCCCCCGATCATTCTAAAGAAGTGTGCTAAAAGTATGTCAAAACCTCTTACCTATATATTTAACCACCCCATTTTCCTCCGCGTATGGAAAAAGGAGCGCATCATCCCCATTCATAAAAAAGGAGATCTCGCCGATGTGTCCAATTACAGGCCTGTTTCCATACTTCCAGCACCCGGTAAAGTTCTAGAGTCAATTGTCATAAAACAATATATTGGCACGTCAAAGAGCGCCTGCATCCAAACCTAGATGGGTTTCAGCCTAAAAAGTCTACAACATCTAACTTAGTCGGTTTTGTTAATGATATTGCATGTGCACTGGATAGGAATAAAGAGGTACACAGTATTTACACCGATTTTAGCAAGGCTTTCGACCTCATCAACCATGACCTGCTTATAAAGAAGATCATGCTAATGGGGTCCATGGTTCACTGCTGCGCTGGTGCGATTCCTATCTCAGAAATCGGTCACAGTTAGTCTCGTTGCGTGGTTATTCATCCTCAGCTAGAGAGATTCCTTCAGGCGTTCCTCAGGGCTCTCATATGGGTCCATTGTTCTTTCTTATTTTCATAAACGATCTAGCCAATATAATCAAATTTAATTTTAAAATGTACGCGGACGATCTTAAACTGTACAAAATCATTGACTCCAAACTAGATGTGACCGCTCTACAGTTAGAGTTGGATAGATTATACGACTGGTGACTGTTATTATTTTAGAGTTTTTTCCTTTTTTATTTGTATTTGTTATCACGTCCACTTGTTGCATGCCGTGTTCACTGTTATTAGAATGAACGTTTGTTTGTTACTTTTTTTCAAGTTACCTGAACCATGTAAACGTTACATTCCATTTGTGAACCAAATAAAAAAAAATAGTAATAAATTAAGACCTATCCGTTGGGAGGCACTATTGAGGTCATTGAGCATAGTGCTTAAGTCCTCCAGCGATTCTGCCATAAGAACTTTATCGTCGGCAAATCGAAGGTGAGTGATGTACTCGCCATTGATGTTAATACCGTATCCATTCCAGTCCAGTAGCTTGAAAACGTCGTCCAATGCAGCGGTGAAGAGTTTCGGGGAAATAACGTCACCCTGTCTTACACCTCTCTGCAGTTGGATAGCTTTCGTACTCTGGTTCTGTACTCGGGTAGCCATTCGTAGCCCTACTGTACAAACACTTCAGCACTTCGATATACCGACAGTCAACTTGGCACCGCTGAAGGGACTGTAGCACCGCCCAAATTTTGATGGAATCAAAGGCTTTCTCATAGTCCACATACGCCAGGAAAAGTGGCAGATTGTACTCCGCGGTCTTCTGTACAATCTGCCGCAGTGTATGTATGTGGTCTATGGTACTGAAGCCTTTTCGGAAACCGGCTTGTTGGGGAGGCTGGAAGTCGTCGAGTCTGCGTGCGAGACGATTCGTAATGACTCTCGAAAACAGCACGTAGACGCGGCTCGGAAGGAATATCGGTCTGTAGTTCTTCAAGAGGGCGTTGTCACCTTTCTTGAAGAACAAGACCACCGCACTTCTGCTCCACGCCTCCGGAGAAGTGCCACCATGGAGGACGGAATTAAAGAGCTTCTGAAGGACTTCAAGTACCGGTTTTCCACCCTGAATGCGGGTGGAAAACTGGTACTTGCTCCGCTGTAATTCTATCCTCGCCCGGGGACTTGCCGTTTTTAAGGTGTTGGAGAGCCATTCTAATTTCGCTCAGACTGACGTCCGGGATATCATCGGAATAGTGTCGGATAAGACTTGCTCTTGGATCGTTACTCACACTTGCGTGTGGCTCCAATGATGATGTGTACAGCTGCCCATAGAACCTCTCAATCTCACTCAGAATCTCAGGTGTCCCGGAAACGATGCTGCCACACTCAGTCTTCAGCTTTGACAGTTGGCTCTTACTCGCAGACAGATCTCTGGCAAAGACTTTGGGGCCCTGGTTGATCGCTTCTTCAATACGAGCAGTATTAAAGTTGCGCAAGTCTCGCCGCATGCACTTGGAGATCTGTCTGTTCAGTTGCCTGTATGCTGTCAAATCTGTTGACGATTGCAGCCTCATCTCCCGTCTAACAGCCATGAGATTAAGAGTGTGATCGGAGAGTTTTTGTGTTCTTCTGCGGCGGGTCTTGCAAAACTTAGCTCCGACCGCATGGACAGTTTCCACGAGCTTGTCATTCATATCATCCACTGCGCTGAAAGCGGCTACGTAACTTGAGCTGAAAGGTTTTGGGATTCTGGATTAGAGCACGAGGGGGATGGAGCGCCTCCGGAGCTTTTTTATGATTCGTCAAAATAAGACTACTTAATGTAAAAAAATGACTGTAGCGGCGTAAACACATAGCACTGACTGACTAACTGCCTCGTTCACGTGGTCGCTTATCGAATCCCGGGTCGGACCAAAATCGGTTATTGAGTCTCCTGGAGTCAGGATTTTGGCATTGTTACCCCCGTGCTTCGCTGATTACTGAAAGCCGTTTTTTTCTGAAAGTATATGCTGTTGCTTGCAGCTTCGATCTAGTAAAATTATGATTAATAAGCCTTACTTTCATAGTAATATAAATATGTTTTATATATGTGTGTATATAAAATATAATTAAATATATATGTATGTATGTACTAATAACTAATAAAAAATATCACTTCCAGTCTCTATTGTTCAACGTAAATTCGATTAAATGAAGCTAAAAGTCGGTATATGAATAATTTTCGATCGAACCAAATAAAGTAACCGTCATTAATGTTTATCTTAATCTTTGGTAGCCTTCTATTATTATTTTACTATGTACCCATAACTTTTTAACATTATTTGTTTAGATTATAAAAAAATGGTGTATTTTAATTTTGTTATCAGTTTGTTTGTGTGTCGTGCCGTTTAATATAAAATTATGTT